CGGATTATTACTCACCGTTGCTCCCTTATTATCTTCTGATGATCTGTTTACGCGTTTTCCAATTATATCACGGTCCACTATGGAACATCGTAGGACGATCAAATAACTGCGTGTCTGAATTTCACCATACGCCGCACACAAGTCACGATTACGCCAGAGCCGGAAACGAATATGCCCGGACACGCCTGCGTACAATCATCGTTCCCCCTCCCTTTACAATGGTGGCGATGCATACGGCATTTCCGGTTTGGCGGTACAATTCAAATCAATGTATTGTTACACAAAGAAACGGATTAATTACAGTTTAACCATTTATGCCACAATAAATTAGAATTTCACGAAGTTTTTATTTGAAGTTTACATAATAAATAATAAAAAGTGATACTAAATTTACACCAGATTAATATTTCTTAAAGACGCTTTGAAGAGTCTATAATCTTTATTAGAAACTATGATTCTTAACTAGAATAATTCAGATATATGTATCCTCTTTGCGAAAATAAATTATTCACCTATTATTATTATTATTGTTCTTAACAATATAATGTTACTTATTTTATTCATATTTGCTCAGTGTTATAGTTTACTTTGTCTTCCTACCTATGATATTAATATCATTAAGATAAAAATTTTATAATTAAATTATCGAACTTTCTTTGATTTGTCTTCAATAGTAACATTCCAGTAATATAGAATTTGATATGCTAGTACTGCATTTGCAGTCGTAGAGCATATATACATTATTGTCATTGTCGTATCTCCTGTTTCTTGGATAGAAGTAAATATTCTTGCTAAAGATCCAAAGAACAGCATGAAACCAGTTATAGCTGATAACTGGCCAGTGTTTCCATTATTATAATTTGTATGGGCTTGAGAGAACTGAAATATAATATATTAATGATCTATCAACGGTGATTACATTACGTAATCTCACATTTTTAGACATCATACCTTACTAATGAGAACAATGGGTATATTCATTGCTTGGCATGCCCACAGAACGCTTAGTGGGGTCAGACCACTTATAGCGGCAACTACTATACCTACATAAGCAACGAGAAATGTAGTTGCCTGAGCAGTATTGCCATTAAAATGCATCACTAAAACCGCAATCATTAACGTTTGAAGTCCCAAAAAGACTCCATCCCCCCAGGAACTAAAACATATTGGCATATATGTTAGACAACATCTGAAAATCTAATGTTATTCACAGTTCTTCTTACAAGTTATATTACCTAAATGGAAAGCCACTAACAATGCTGTAACATACCATTGCAGTGATAGCAAACACATCTAATAACACACTGAACAGATTAATGCCCTGTACGCTTTTACTTTTTAGAATTTTGACAATTTGTGGAACTTTTACTAGAATAATAATACAATATTAATAAAATAGTGTTATCTAAAGATGTATACCACATAACAACTCTTAATCATTGAAGTTGTAAATTTCAGGAAAATATTCTAAATATGCACATAACAAACGAAAATGAATTCTAACCGAGGAGAGAACCAGCGATAATTCCAAGGCCTAGGAATTTACTGAGCGTCGCTTTGAAACATTCCGCTGAAACATTTTGAAAATTTGTATATTTTACTTGACGATATTCGTATCGTTTTCGAAAAAAAATTCATCGTAATTTCGGTGAAAATTTATCTACAAATTACAAAGGTTCAACGGTCTTAAATTTACTATCAGAAAGAAAGAAATATCGTCTATCGGTCGTGGCAAAATTATCTATTCAACGACCAGGAAGTTCATTATTTCTAAAAGTATCTTATAATTGTAATTTGTTTAAATACATGTGTCTTAAGAAATGTACATAAGTGATAATACTAAAATAAATCGTACCCCACTTTTCCATACAAACAGAGAAAATGATAAAAAATAATTCATATCTACAAAAACTCAAGTTTCCCCTTTTTGAATAATTCCCTCGGTAGTTCGACACAATGATCAGACGGTACAGTAGTACCAGACATCGCTAGAAACATTCTTATTTTAACCTGCTATTACGATCTTTTAATAAAGGAATAGTAAAGTAATCTTTAAAAAAGAACATCAATATCTTACCATGAAAGAAATTAAATTCTTCAAAGTACTCTTCCATACATTTTTCCGTAAATACTAAGAGAGCGGCGTTCTTCAATGCTTTAGCCATGTTTGCCACGACACACGATTCGAATCACTGCTTTGCGAAATACGTAAAACGACTTCTTTGATTGCGAATAGGTTACAGACTGGTCACTGTACATTCCCTGGACTTTGATATCGACTGTTCAAATGTCACTGGAATTCGTGGCTGCGGACAAGGTTCTTTAATGAAAGAAAAACTGTTCAACCTACAGATGGATACGCTTTTAAGCCATCTAACGATACGACTTGGTAACTAACTGAGCTCCCAGTGATATGCAATCCCAACTACTGATAAGTATAATCGTTGTAGGGCTTTAGAATTATTTCAATTCCGTACTCCAGATTATCAATACGAGTTTGTACTTATCAGACAGAATGGAATTAGCTAAATACATTATTCATATTAGATTTATTTAATCTAATTTGCATTTGAAAAATTAACCAAACAAGTTACGTTTGTCTAATCTGATTCACTGCAACAAGTGCGTACGACAACGATAGAAACACATTATTGAACGTAATACTAGAGAAATACAGTTATCATTAAAGTGTGCAACTAGAAGGTGCAGTTCTTCCGTTGACAGTTGCATTATACTCTGTCGATACCTTTCCTATCCTTACCATGTTTACAAATAACGAAACAAACATTTCACAAGTGAAAAAATGAATTACTGGTTATCGCAGTCTCGCTCGAGATCAACAGTTTCCATCCCTGCTTATTTAAACGTGATATCCGATACAACTTCACTTCTCGCCGGTTTCAAACGCATCCTGTCACCGACAGTGACATGTTTGTCCCACGGGCCCTTCGTTCCTTCGCAGCTTGTTTGCATTTAGTACCATTTTCAATATTTCAGTGACACGTCTTCGCGAGCACGCTTGGAAATTCTTCCGTTCACGAATGAAGTCGTAAAACCGTATTCTATGATTTCCCACATCATATATCAAACGATATCTAATGGTGAGTAACCGAGATAGAGCGGAGATGTAGATCAATGTTACGAGAGCGTACCCGTGGTCAGTAACAGTGACAAGTTCCAGGCAGCGCCTAGTTTTATCACACGCGACTATCCGTTCGTCGCCGATAAGGGATACGCGTGGGGTCCGACCGAATTCTAAAATAGTACGCCGCTCCGTATACACATGCGGATCCCCCGAGATTATCAGCGCGAAATCGAACTCGTATAATTAGCGATAGGAGGTCGAAGTGATTCGTCTGGCCCGCCTCTTCACGCGAACCAAGATGCGCTCGCATAAGTGGGTCATAGCTTGTGGAACGGGAGCGGTTAGGCCAACCCACGCGATCGCTTTTTCCTTCTTTGCCTGCATTCAGCGGCCGAGAAGTTCCGCAGGGGTGCCTGGTACGCTCCTTCGACCCTCTCCCACCCCTTCCGGCCGTTTTTGCCCTTCTTGGAAACTGGTTGCATAATGGCGATTACCGTGACATTTCAAATTTTCAATTGAAAAAAAAACCGTCACGCGTGGCCCCGTCGCCATCGCCGATCGAACTTGAATTCTTTTCGTCGGATTTACGGAGATTTGTGGAGGCGGACGATTATAATTCAACGTGGGGAAAAGAATTTAACAGGCTCACGGGACTACAGAAGTTTCTTATTGTCGAGCGAGCCCAAGATCCAAGGATTCCGTAATGTGACGTTAATTACGCCCTCGGAGGGCCGCGGTTATGCGATCTTATCCAAACCGGCCGAATAGTTGGGGAGCTTTAAAACGCTTTCAGAGCGCACGCCTGCGGAATTCTAGATTCTGTGCACATACCTAGTGTCTGTCCCCGATGACGTTCAGTCGGAGTTCTGCTTCCGTCTCGTCGGCTCGCCGTTGCCCCCGAGGGAACACGAGCCGCTGCCAATTCGGGGGATGTTGTCTCTGATCATGCGATATCGAGGAAGTTTCTTCGTTGAATCGCTTCCATTCGACACGGTAATCGTTCGTTAAAAACTGGCCATTGAGCCCTTCAAAGCGGACAGAAGGATGTTGAAAGGCAAGTGCGAGGATTCAACAGGTACAAGACGGAATCCTGCCGCCATGTGTTCCCATCGACGCGGCCTTAGTGCCCTACATTCGGACGCATAGAGATATACTTTCCGTCGTACCTTCATTTCACTAGTTCTTTCTCCTTTCGAATCTTTTCACCGCGTTTGTCCAACTTTGCAAGCTGATCCAGGATAAACTAACGCCGACCTCTACGGGCCCGTTCTTCTTCTACCGAGGCGCGTTACGATGAAGCGAAGCTAAACACCAACGGAGTGCATCAGCGCGGAGGGATTCGCGTATCCGTAAGTGCACTACATGAATGCGAACGATGAGGCGCCGTCGAATTTGGAACAGGCCAGCATGGAAAAAGCGGAGAAGAACGAAACTGAGATCATCGAGAATGATACCGCCGAACCCGTAGCAAATGCGACCAATGATACCAATGATACCGCAGACGCGAAAGCAGAAGGTAGACTTCTCTTTTCATCGTCACTTTTCGCGTGTCTTCATTTTTCCATCTGTTACGTGCAGAGAACGTTATACTCCCCATAGATCTGCCACCGACTCTCCACGAACGTTTCATGCGCATCAAGGAAATGGTGAAGGATGCTATCGCCATGCACCACACGTTCATGATCTATGGCAGGGCACGGGTGGTTCGGGAATGCATGCTGAAGAGAGGCTGGTGTGAGAAATTTTTCCGGAAGAATTCCACTGGTATAGCTTCTTTATCTTGAAAATCATTTTCCAATAGGCTCTTCAGGGTTAAAGCTTTCAGAATATCGATCCTTCCAGCCGAACATTACACTGTGAATTCGAGTCCCGTTGCGCTGCTGGCCGGTATCGGCGACTTGAAGGATCAGCAAAGCGAACGGCAACTGATCTCCAGGATGCTCAGCAATCATACCGTCGATTTCCTCTGGAACACAGGATCGGATTGGCCCGGTTGGCCGTCCCAGGACAACAAAGCTACTATCTTCAACAGATACTGCCGAGCGGGATTTACGTCGAAGGTATCTCTGAATTGGCCTCGCTCGATTTCCGACTTGCCCGTGATGCTTGCGTATCGGACGCGGATTATACATGCTTCCTAAGAGACTCGACTGCCTTAGGTGGGCCTGTGTTCGAACGTCAGGCAAATGCATTGGTATTACGAAGCTGGCGTTGCGAACACCCTCTTCCCACGATGCTACAATCTTTGCCAGGGCGATCAGATGCACGCTTTCATAGAGGACTTCCGGTGAGCAGAATCGTTCCTTTGTTATTCCACTGTAGTTATCGGCGTAGTTGATTCTCTTACTGTTTTTCGAACCAACGAATCATCCAATTTGAGGTTTAATTGAATACACACAGGTTCACTGCCTGTCTGAGCCTCTTGAAGTGGCTCGTGGACAAGATCAACGAGGAAGGCGAAAATGCAGTCCGATCGGCGACAGGCACGGTACCACTGAAGGCCTTGGAGTTCGCGATCAAACGGTGCAGCGATCACATCAGCGCCCAGTCCCACGAGGACATCGATCAGGAGACGGAAAGGGTATGGGGTCATCAGTGGGACCAGTTTATCAGCTGGTATTATCAGATCGTTCACGGTCAATCGCTCTTCGTAAGAAACAGTGTGCCTTTTCAAGTAAGCAGTCTACGAGAACCACCGAGAAGTACCATTGAAAGGATCGTATTAATATACCGATGTGAATAGAAGTTCTTTCTGGCGGCGAAGCACATATTAAAAAAGATGAGAAAGTACTGTCCCCAAATGGACATGGACGGCGTGATGAACGTGTGGATCATGAAACCCGGGAACAAGAGCCGCGGACGGGGGATCGTGCTGCTGAACAAACTGGAGGACGTCATGGCGAAGATGAATCCCACGAATAAAACGGACACTCGTTACGTCGTGCAGAAATACATTGGTAACTGGCATTTCCGGCTTGACGATCGATCGATTGAAACGGGAACGAAATCGTGTTAATGGGACTTCTGGTTTCGTAGAACGGCCGCTGTTGATTCACAGCACGAAGTTCGATATCAGACAGTGGTTCATCGTCACCTGCGCCCAGCCGTTGACACTCTGGATATATAAGTAAATCTCACGACATATTTATCGAAGGATTTCATACGTATTTCACGGTCGCAGGGTGAAAAGAAACACTTATCGAATAAGCGGCTGCACGCGGGCCAAAGTTGTACCGATTCTTGTTTCGTGTTGCGATCTCGTGCCCATGGAACTTCCGCGGAATTAATTGGCGCATAACTCGCATTCGTCATAATTATCGCGGATCGGGCGGTACGTAATCGTCGAGGATAGCCCGACTTTTCTCCTATATTTAGAGGCACGCTGCGAATCCAAGGGTGGCCACGGACGAGCCGCCCGCAGTCAATTACCGGTTATAAGCTCACCCCGTACGAAATTGATCCTTTCTAACCCAGTTCGCGTAAATGCTCGCTTGCCCCGGCTTAGCGACGCGATACGATGCGTCAACTATGTATCCCAGAACCAATGACACGTTCATGACCCGCCGATACCGGGGGATCACGGCCGAGCCTTTCAGGAGCGATGACGGAAAACGATCGCGACACGTTCTCGTTTGCAGGGAGAGCTATCTGCGGTTCTGCTCCCAGAAATTCTGTCTGACGAACTTCCACGAATCGATCCACCTGTGCAATCACGCGATCCAGTGCAAGTACACGAATTGCGGCGACAGGGATCCTGCGTTGCCCTCGGACAACATGTGGGACGCGACAACCTTCAAGGAGTTCCTCAAGTATGATAGATCAACCCTTTTGTTGAGATCGAGTTAGCCGTCATTCCGTGAACTCGTTGAACCCCGTTCGCGCTTTTGTATTTCGTAAATTACGGAACTTTCCGAGGGTTTTATCGCGGGAACAAACTTTCTGCGAGAAAGGTGTTGAATTAAAGATAGAAACTTCGACAGGTCGCAGGGGCACGATAAAGCGTGGGACGAAATGATCTACCCAGGAATGAAGCAAGGTTTGGTCGGCTCTCTGCTGGCCAGCCAGGAAGCCATGGACCGTCGGAAGAATAGTTTCGAGCTTTACGGCGCGGACTTTATGGTTATGGAGGACTTCTCCGTCTGGTTGATCGAGATCAATAGCCATCCGGACATGAGTTACTCGAGCAAAGTTACGACCCGCCTATGCCGACAGGTCTTGGAAGACACCGTAAAAGGTGCACGAACTGTTCGGCTTTACTTCGTCAATTCTTATATCTGCGAGTTTCCAGCGTGTTTCCTTTTTACTGTCTCTGAGCTCTGCTTTCGCAGTGGTGATCGATTTCCGCGAGGATAAAAATGCGGATACGGGACAATTCGAGCTGGCGTACAGGCAGAGGATGCCCAGTTGTCAACCGTATCTGGGCGCTGCCTTGTCTCTTCAGGGGACACGGATCACGACGTTCGAGAAGAAGTCTAATTGTTTCAGTCAGGATTCGAAAGTTAGCCTTGCATCGAAGACACCGATGGTACGGTATAAGACTGAAGTTTTCAGGATTTATACAGGAGTTATTGAGGATGATACCGTGTCCTCAGACGTGCCTGACTAAGAAGAAATCGACGATGCATACCCAGATCGGTCCAGTGATCGTCGATCTGATCGAGGAACTGGAGATCCAGCTCGATCAAGAGTTCTACGCTTATTATAAGGTGGAATCGCCGAAGTTCAGACAAGCACTGCCAGCGACCGCGCCGCCGAAACCCCTGAAGACAGCCATACTGGTCGATAAACAGGAATCGACTGTGAAAAGCGCTCCCACGGGAGGCAGTAATAACGTGAAATCGAAGCCGAATGGTGTGGTCCAGGTAAAAATCTTTCGGAATAAACAGGAACGTTCGAGGCTTTTACTGTTGCCGTGTGTCTCGCAGAATAATCGGATAAACGAGAAGATCGGGAATAACCAGAAAGCTGCGACACGGACGCCAAGGAAATCCAGGACGTTCACTGGATCGACGAATAACAATAGGATGGACTCGTCTCCTGTGAGACAGACGTTGATCTCGAAGATCATGTCCTTCCAGAAGCAATCGACGAAACTCACTACGAAGTCCGATAAGTCTGGCAAAGCGAATCAAGATAAGGTCGAAACATTTTACGTACTTCTTAGAGCTCGTTTTAGTTTCCCGGCTAACTTCCTTTCGTTTCAATCGTTCAGATGATCAAGACAGCTGTACGAGACGCGATTAAAAAGTACAAAAGGAGCGCCACTCTAACTCCCAATACGTCGGACGTGCCAGCACTGCCCGCTCTGTTAACGGTGAACAGAGGGAACGAAGTTACCACAGGGAAGAACAAGAATCGCGCCGCTGTTCCGAAGAAGAACACCCACCAGAAGAAAAGCAAGGTTCTAACCGATATTACAGACATGTACGCCGTCGGCTTGAGGTTGACGAAATAATTGTAAAAAAAAATCGTTTGCGAAGTGCACTCGTTATCAATTGCTCCCGACTACTGTTGATCTGTTCTAGAAGTCTATATTTCGATCGTACTGCTAAAATAGTCAATAAAGAACTGTGCTACCGATCGTTAATGCGTCTATGTTATTTCCCTGCTGTCTAAAAAGAACACCTCGTATGAATGTCCGGAAACAAAGCCCTGTCGATTCTTGCACATGGACTAGAATCCGACCCGTTTAACATTACCACTGATAAATGGCAACTTGATTTGAAATGGCAAAATCCTCCGAGTAACTGTCAGGCAAATGGCGACCGTCTTCGTTCAGAAATCTTTTCTCGTGTTTCATGCTAGACTGCGAGAGAGTTAAACGTTACATGTTCTTTTTATCTTTACTGGTCACGTGGAATGGAGTGCGTAGACTCTTCTTCGACGTATTCAAAACCTGCGTACGCGGTGAACTCGCTAGAAGGGGATACGGGCTTTGATTGCAATCCTATTGATAAGGACAGCCTCCAATGCACATTTTTCCGGCAACCTAAACGCCAGGTACGCGAAATGTCTGTAGGTTAAGCTGCGTCGGGAATTGTGAATCTTTATTTGCGGAATATGACACCTGACAGCTCTCAAATGGTCTTCTACTGTCGTCAGACACTTACACCGATTCTGATAGTGACGTAGATGTACTCGATACCTCTAGACAATCGTCTCCCAAGCTTTTAAAGGAGTCTAATCAATCTGCGATTGGTCAGAGGAGATTCGGAAGTAATAGATGCTTTGAGAAACCTAAAGTAAGATTCGGTGCACCAGTTTGTATCGATTCTGGTTCGAGGAAGCGATGGGTGAAAGAAGGAAACGAAAGTGTTCCGGTGAAGCTGATGAAAAGGAGCACCTGCTCGAAGAAAAATGATCGGGAAAATAAAAAGCATTGTGAGAAATTTAAGGCGGAGCTTGTGACGTGTAGAAATCAGGATTCTGAGCTGACGCAACCTTCTCCAGGTAACACATCGTGAAGAATAGAGATGATCAAATTTATTTGTGGTAATAGAAGGATTTTTGCTTTAGAGAAGCGTTTTCGAGCTGCGAGGGAAGCGAGAGATGGTAAGGATATAGTTCAAGATAGAATTATTAGGAACAAACGCTTGTTGAAAACCGTAAAAGAAGTGATTCATACGATGAACGAAACGAAAATGTTCGTAGAATCTGGACAGTGTATTAAACCGAGTAACAAAGTTGCGAAAATGAATATTGCTGGTGACAGAAAAGATAAAAAGCAACGAAAACACCCCAAAAAAATTGTAAACGATTCTGAAGGGACGGCGATGCAAAGACCGTTCTTCGAAAATCCGAGATTGGAAAGAGATTTGAACCAATCCATGCAGAAAGCAATAAAAAAATACAGAACTTGTTGGAAGTGGAACGAACATGACATTTTTATAAACAAGAAACCAGTTTCTTAGCTCTCCTTTCATAGATGTATTGAACGTGAATATATAACCGTATCGAACCCCGTTTTATCGATCGTCAAAACGTAGGCTAGGGATGCCAGTTTTCGCGTGAAAGCATGTAAAATTTACCTGTGAAAAAAGACTGAAATAAATAAAAAATGTTAAGATGTATGAGCTCGTTATTAATTACTAAAATGCAATATGCTACACCAAGGGAATTCTTTTGAAAATGAAGAATGCTCGACAGGGGACCAGCGTTTGATCGATTCTAACCATGGCTTCCCATGTATTCCAGAGAAAATTACAGGATTTAAGGATAATGAATACGAAACGCAGAGTCAGAATTGCATAAAGGTAATTAATACACGAAAATGGCAAATCATGTTAACCTCCGAAGATTGCTCGATTAAGAAACACTGTCAAGGTTGGCAGGTACGAAAGAAATGTTCCGTTTCCTTATGTAAAGCTCCTACCAACTTATCTTGCTATATTTTCTCCAAGATATATCCAAAATCTACTCAAACAGCCGAAGGAAAGTCGCAGTTATTTCTACGAATCTCTGATTCTAACATCGGTTCTCAAAAAATGTCGGATCTAGAGCCGACAACAACCGCGAACGCAGAGATCCTCTGCAATCGTGAGGATCTAGACGACCTTTTCAGCGAAAATGAGAAAAAAGAGGAAGACAATCAGGGCAGCATCGTGTTGAAAGATTATTTGAAGCTCCTATCCACGGAACAAGCTAAAATCAATTTTATTCTGATGATGCTATCGAAGGCAGTAAACGAGCACAAAGTGTTCGTCATTTACGGAACATTTCCGGTTATAAGGAAACCTCTAGGAAAACGAGGCTGGATCGAAAAGAGATACATCAGAAGGATGATCTCGATGTCGCCGGAAATGTCTGCAGGTTTTCAAGAACTAACTCCGTTATTATCAGTGATGTTGAAATGTCTTATTTATTTACAGCTGGTTTAGAAGCAATCGAGAAATTACTACGTTGCCCCGCGGATTTAATTTGGTACACGAACAAAAGAGTATCAGTGAAGACAGACGAGAAGGTCTTAGTGAACAAATTCTCTGGATGCTATTTTACATCAAAGGTCGCTTATGTTAATTACCTTTTAATCACTGTCGCGCTGCGGTTCTTGATCGTTCTCGGAATACTTTCAGGTTGACATGTGCAACAATTTGGAGAACGTTTGCTGGTACTACGAGGTTGGCGTGTCGAACATTCAGTTTCCACGATGTTATAACGTTTACCAGGTTCGTGATTGTTAATTAGATGTTTCCACGCTATGACGTCGACAAAATTATTATTACACTGCATTTATGCAGGCTGCGCAGGTCGAGGAGTTCGTGCAGGACTTTCAAATCACAGCTTGCATGGGAATCCTCAAATGGTTTTTATTTCTAGCCAGCGTGGCTGGACCAAACGCTACTTGGTCGCCGAACGGTACCGTGCCGATGTCCGCCATTTTGTTCGCTCTCGAACGTTGCAGAGAATACATAAGGTTCCATTCAATTTTTAAGATTTATTTCGTCCCGATGAAATAGATAAGAAATGTGTTTACCTTCTTCCTTCTTCCTTCGTAATGTTTACAATCGCGTGTGCACCGACGACGAATTACCGTTATAATAAATAATTGCAGCGCGAGCGCGCACGAAGACATCGACAAACACAGCAACGTGGAAGTATTGCCGACGGCATGGAGCGAATTCTTGAATTGGTACGAAAGATTTTTGCACAAACGTGAAATCTTGGGGAAAAGCGATGGAATAGACATCGAGGTATGCGAGTCATTTTACCGGTTATCGACTCGACTGTTGCGTCGCGCGTTTTATGACAGGAACTCGTGCCGTACACGGCGAACACTCTCAAAGACATGATACAATGCCGGCCTCAGAGTCGCATCGACGGAATGCGGAATGTCTGGATCTTAAAACCGGGCGATAAAAGTTTAGGGAGAGGTATAGTACTGAAGAATTCGTTGAGCGATATCTTGAATAAGGTGAACCACGCCGCGCGAGAGTGCATGCAGTACGTCGTGCAGAAATACATAGGTGAGTCCCGTTTTGCAACATCGGTGGCACGGTTTTCAACAAAATTCGCCGTGGAGTGGCGTTTTATTTTTAGAACGACCTCTGTTAGTTCGTAAAACGAAAGTCGACGTCAGACAATGGTTTCTGATCACGAGCACGCAACCCCTGGTCGTCTGGATGTACAAGTATCGATTTTCTTATACCTCTTTTTCGTCCTTTCTTGATCTTTCCACTTCGTTGTCCGTCTTTCTTCATGTAATCATTCGATCCGAAGAGATATCTTGCTGCGGTTCGCGTCGAAGGATTTCACGCTCGAGAGTTTTCACGAATCGATTCATTTGTGCAACACAACGGTGCAGCTGAAATATAGGAAAACGGTGAGGCCGAACGCGCAAATACCCGGGGAGCTCCACTGGAATCTTCAGAAATTTAAGGAATACTTGAAGTATGCGATTTAATCTCGGTTAAGGGAACCACCGAATCCGATCATTCCTATATCGCATCTCACCCTTCCAAGAGCCACAGATCGCGAGTTTGCATGGGAGAAGCAGATCAAGCCGGGCATAAAGCAAAATTTAATAGGGGCGCTCTTGGCTTCTCAAGAAAACATGGTTAATCGGAGGAACAGCTTCCAATTATACGGCGCCGATTTCTTGATAATGGACGACCTGTCGGTCTGGTTAATCGAGATCAATACGAATCCGAGGCTTCATCCGCCGAGCAGTTCCGTCACGGGGAAACTTTATCCGGAAGTCATCGAGGACACGATGAAAGGTAACGATGGAGTGTTGTTTCGGAGTGCTTGTCGTTTCCGGAGGACCAGGATTTGGCGAAGAGCTTCGTGGTAAGGAAATGATGTGTGTTCGAAGTGGTTATAGACGGGCGTAAGAACAAGAAGACTTCTCATGGGAAATTCGAATGCATTTTCAAGCAGCGCAATCCATTTCACGGTAATGTTTTCGGCCAGGCGATCGGCTTGGGAATTCGCGGCAAAGCTTTATTGCCCGCGCAGAATCCACCGCGGAGATCATGAATAACAATGGTGGCGTTACCAAGTCCACGCTCATCAAATAATGTGCACAACAATGGGTTTAATAAAAACGTGTTTATTTTACAAGTAACAATGTTGCGGGTATACAATCCTATATGAACAGATGGTTTGTTTGTTTAATTAATACACATCTATACACGATTGCGTACAAGAGACATTCTTGTTCGTGGCTGCATTCATACGTTTCTGTACGTACAAAATGATCCATTCATGTTCGTTCGTATTTCTTTAACCGGCGTTTGCGTCGTACTCTTTTAATTTTGATTAGAAAAAGAACATTCTCTTTCGTTCTCTCACAGCGGAACCGTATCCCTCCGCGTTTGACTTTTCGAGACGTGCACTGTCCGTTCCGATACTCGGCACATCGTGCCAGAAAAAAAAAGGACACTAGCTCTCCGTGTTACTATTGCTTCGAAACCTGGTTCGCAAGGTTACGTGTTACAGTCGCACGATAAACGTGTCTATTTGTTTCTCGTAGAAAATTCATCTATGCCATCGTAATTAATTACAAAATCTATGTTGGTCGTACGAATAATATTGACCGTTTCGAAAAACGTTTACCAACTGCCATTATCGAGGTTCGAAACGCGAGCTTAATACGAGAGTCATGTTTCGTAAATGTCTAACTGAAAGTAAAATTATTATCCGTCTCCTTCAATGTAATATAATTACAGTGAACCGGAATTATATATATGTATATCTATATATTTATATAGAAATTGCACTGTTAGCAATTTGTAGAACACACCTAGCTAGGCTGCGCCACACTTCTATCGGGCAGACCAAGCAGAAGAATATTATTAGTTCTGGTTGAATTCAAAAATAAGGACAGAGATAGAAAGAAAACGAAAATGTACAACATTTCTCAATCGAATAGACAAAAGTACTGGCTTCTATGATCTTACATACGCGAAGGAAACGCTCGTCTGCATCGATATCGGTGTGGTTTCGAAAAAAGTTGAAAAATCCCATCTGTATCGAGGTTCGAAATCCAGCGAGCATAGAATCAATTATTCGATTTTGACGCGATACGCCGGCAGAATCGAATAAGTCAATTCAACATCGCCAGGCTTCGACTTGCATCGCAAATACATTCGGGTGAGCTTTGGATCTTGTCGCTGCGGAATTTCTGTACGTAATTATATACGCGGCGGGTGGGAGCTTGCGACGACTGTTTATACGGAATACAAACGATCCCCCAGAAAAACCGACAAGACGTATAAATATCACATGTAAAACTGCACGAAATGAGGACAGAGACTCACGTAACTGGCTTTAGCGTAAAGGACAATTTAGGCCTCGAGTTGTTCTTCCCGAGAATTTTCTTTTGCTCCTCTTTCACACGTTTTTCTTGCTCTTTCCTCATTCTTTGCCTCTCCTCTTCCATCAAACGTTGCTGTTCGACCATGGCCAATCTTTCCTCAGCCTGTCGACAGAGAAAAACCACGGTTTTTCGTTTCAATTTCCCTACCACAAACAAACGTTCGTCCCCAGAGAAGCGGACATACCAATTTCTTCTGGGCTTCCTCGATTTTTCTGTTGTTCTCCTCCACGATCCTCTCTAGTTCCTCTCGCTTCTTCCGCTCTTCCTCCTACAACGACAATGGGATCTATTTACACGAAGCAATGATGGTGTCGTTCACCAGCTGTTGTTACACCGTTCATATCCAAAATCATAGTGCCGCTACATCAACAGCCTAGTGTTATACATCCTAAGAACCTCTCTCAATCTCTCTCAATCTCTCTCTCTCGCTCTCTTTCTTTTTTTTCTCGTTTTGCATTTATTTAAAGGAAAGAAAGTAGTCAGGATAACGTGTGAAATTTTGAGGTCGGGTTTATTATTCTTTTTTTTCTTTTTTTCAATGAATTAAGGATGGCTTGTCGAGAGAACGTGACACGGAGGACGCGTGCGAGGCCAGCTCCTCCGTTCGGATCGAACCGAGCTCCTCTTAGCTCTCCCAGCGAATGCTGTTTATTGTCTGATTTCCCCCAGACGGCTTAGGATGCCACTTAAAAAAGTGAAAAAACGTGAATTATGATTTCTGAATTCCAAATCCACTGTGCATGCAAAACGGGCGTACAGTGTGAACGCGTTGCAGCAACGACGCTCCGTAAAGTTTCTCGTAAACGTCGCGACAACGCCGAGAGGAACGTCTCTGTGTGTACAAAGTGCAGGAACAAAGTCTAAGTCGCGTAAGGTGTAAATATATAACCGGAAAACAACAAAAAAAGTTAAGAAACAAAAACAGGAAAAAAAAGGGGGAAAAAAG